GAATTTGTATATTTGAACAGATATCTTGATCGATTTAGGAACAGCCATGGGATAACCTTTGAAAAAATCTGTGGTGAAGCAAAGTCTGTACATTGCACATATTGTGGTCATGGGTGACTGAAAAGTGGCAAATTATCGGTGAAGTATACACAAAAGATGACATTTACAATGCCGATGAAATGGGCATTTTCTATATCGTAACACCACAGCAAACTTTTAGATTCAAAGGTGAAAAGTGCATAGAAGGCCAGCTCTCCAAAACTCAATTGATAGCTTTAGTGTATTCTAATACATCTGGCACTGACAAGAACAAAATTATGGTTATTGGCAAGTGCAAAAGCCAAGGGTGAAGGTAAAAAAGCTTCCTGTTGACTATGACTGCAGCAAGAAAGCCTGGATGACGTCGGACATTTTCACGGAATTAATTTCAAAATGGGAAAGGCAACTGAGGAAAAGAAGCATAAAATTCTTTTTAATTGATAACCGTAAAGTGCATGCCAAAATCACTGTACTTACAAACACGAGTATTGAATTTTTATGACATTCTAGATGTGTTATACAGCCTAGGGAATAAGGGGTAATCAGAAGTTTTAATTCAAACATTTGTAAACACTTGATTTTTATGCTTCTTGATAGAGGGGGGGGGAGAAATAGGAACAACCTCAAATGCTAATGTTAACATATTCAAAGTGGCACATTTAATGAACAATACATGGGAAAAAATTACATCAACATGCATTACCAACTGCTTCCATCAACCTGGATTGCAGATTTCTCATGAGGAACAAATCACAGAGCAAGGAGAAGTAGACGACTTAGAAAATTTGGAAATGAGTAGAGAAGAATTTGGAAGTTATGTATCTGTTGATGCTAATGTTATCACTTCCAATAACTACTTCTAAGTATATTGTAACTTAGATTCAAGCTAAAGCAGGTGAAAAAAATAATGAAAGCAATAATGATGAATGTGAGGAACTTTAAGCTAAATTGCCTCCAACACACCCAATGGCTTCTGAGTACACAGAAAAACTTTTTCGAAGCCAGGTGTGCAAATGACGATGTTTTTCGGGCTAGGAGTCTTCTCCGAAGAACAATAACATAGGAAAGAGACACTAAGACAATTCAAAGACTTCTTCTGTACTGTACAGAAATAATAAAAAAATAATAAAGTACATAATATAGTAAGTATGTATGTATGGATTTTTATGTGCACTTTGTTATAACAAGAAAATATTATGGTCCCTTCAGACTCATTATAAGACTGCATTTATATTATTTCCCATCCCACAGATAGTGAAACATCCCCCAATGCTTAACAATATGCCTCTTTCCTCATGCTTAACTGTAGAAAATAAATTTCTTGTATTTAATTCTTCCTTCTGCTTTCAACATGCAGGAGTTCTTCCATCATACCTAAATGGATTAAACTGTGGCTTGTCTGGATATATAGCTTGGTTAATCTTTGCTTATCGCTGATTTTAGCACATTTCCTTGTTAACAAATAAATTCTTTCTTGCTGACCAACCATTGTATCCATATGCTCTAATGATTCTCCTAACAGTTTCAGAGTTAATTTGTGTTGCAAATCATTCCTCTAAATCCGTATTAAGTTTCACAGCATTAATATTTGGGTTTGATTTGATTTTCCGTGAGCTTAGAAGGTGGTCCAGACTCCAGCATATTTTCAACACCTTCACACATTTCCATCATTTTATAATATCAGATATAGTTAAATGCTTTACATCAAGGCTTTGTTGAATTATATTTTGAATTCTTTTATCATCTTTAAACAAGATGAATAATTAAATTTCTAATACAACTTGTCATGTATTTCTACCATCTTGATATGCTCATTTCAGCTATGGAACTGTTAACACATTTTGCTATGCAAGTAACAATTTCAAACAACAGATGATAATTCTCCTGATGTATTATCATTTAAAACAAAAATTCATTATAAACTTCATCTGCCAAAATATCTCAACAGAAGATTCGCATGTCCAAATTATTATGTGAGTTACCAACTAACATAGTTTGAGTGAATTATAACAAACAATAGTTTGATATTAATTTTGTAACAAGAAAAGCTAAAATAGAGGCAAAAATTAATAAATATATTAGGATAAAAATTGGAGTCTTAAGTTCAGGGTGATAGCAATTTCATTTATAAATTCCTGAAAACTACCATGGAGTATGAAAGTCCATTACAATCTCAAATAATTTAGAATATTAACATTAATATCCTTATATGTATGCATGCATACACTACTTTCTCAATAGTTTCATTTATGAAAAAAAGCATAATTTTATAGATTTATTAAAAATTAATTAAATCATTTTACAAGGTTGTGTACCTTTTTGGTTTCTGAACATTTTAAAAAATAATTGTTTAGTTTGCTTTTTTGGGGTGAATCAATTTCTAGGAATTGCTGGATTTATATTTTTCTTTGTTAACCATTAAAGGGCGTTCAGACGGGGGTTTATCTGAGCTAACGGAGTCGGTTCTATTTGTCGACTAGCTCCACTATGCTTGCAGTTCAAATTTTTCAACTCACTGCTGTATGGGGAAAAAGTGATTTTGAAGGTGTATCAGCTAAGTCAGTTGCCTCCGTTAGCTCAGATAAGCCACAGTCTGAACAGCCCTTTATAGCATCATCAGTAGGCGTTTTGTTGTAAACAATTTACTTTTCACTTAATCCGTAGAATATTAGATTGCAATCTGAAGTGTGCATAATAGGTGTTGAAGATCAGGAACTCCTAGCAGGAAAAGAATAGTTCACAAATATAAAGAATTTTAGTAGCCTGTCCAGCTATGCAATAATTATTAAATCTTTACCAATAGGGTCTTAAGATGGATTTTCAGACCTAACAATTTCATATGTACTTTTTTTTAATAACAATAAATAATATTTCACAGTCAGCCAGCATCTAGGCTATCAATGTTCAATAATATTCTAGAAGCCATAATATCACCCACATAATTAAATCCATTTTCAACTTTATGTCCATGGAAGCAAGTCAAAAGAAATTTTAGAAGTTTTATCGATGCAGGGAAAGTATTTCTGTTTCCACCTTCTCTTAGGCTGAATACTTCATTCCAGAATTTTAGCATCAACTGATCTGTATACAAGTATTTTAAAGTTTTGAATTTATGAAGATCTCTGAGTGATATATTTGTTCTAAAACAAAATTTAAGAAATATTTCACAAATCCAGAAATGCTATATTTTAGCAACCAAGAAATTCCAGCTATATCTGAACTGCAGTCACTAATGTAAGTTTCAATATTTGGTACAAGATCTATGAAAATAGATTAAAAAAATACAAGTGAAAACAAATATGAGCCATTGTATGAGGCAAAAACATGTCTTAGAACTGAAGAAATATGGTGTTTGTGTGTATATATATAATTACAAAACAACTCTTCTGAAAACAATATATATATATACATATGTATGTATATTTGTGTGTGTGAGTGACTTAAAGCATTAAGTAGCCAATTTCAGATGTGAGCAACGAAACAATTTGTTTGGCCAATATTAATAAGTAACCTAAAGCAATGTTTACTGTATCTAGATTAATTATGTCTCTCTATCTATATATAATTATATACATAGAGAGGTTGGTTTATTTAATTATGGCAAAGCACACTAGAGCTATCTCCCTATGGTTAGGGAGGACTTTCTAAAGGAAGCTGGCTCGTATATGTATAACATGTGGAAAAACAATGAAAATGCCCATGCAGCTGCCTATTTGCAGGATTCGAACCTCAAACTGAACTACCAGTGTTCAACAACTTTACCGCTCGGTCACTGGTGTGTGTATATATATATGGTAACAGTTAGTTAACACAGCCACCATAGGGCATCACCTATGCACCTGCAACGAGAGCGAGGTGAAAGAGGATGACAGACAGACATCCATCCCATGCGAAGGTGATAAGAGGTTGTGTCAACTGGAAGGTCGTAAATATAGAACTGTATGATTGCCATGCGGAGGTGGTAACTGAACTGCATAGTAGATAGTGAGCGTGAGTAAGCATCAAGCAAGATTTGTAAAAGCTATGCAGAGCATTGTTTGTATTCAACGGCATTGTGACTCGATTTAATGTATCTTTCTTTGTTATTTTCATTAAATGTCTGTGGTGTGGAAAACATTTGAATTGTTATTGACCCTAGGATAGCATTTTCAACTTCCCAGCCATATATATGTATATATCAGGGCATAATTTCTAAAATTAAAGTGTCAGAACCCTATGGAAGGCTGTCAAGAAGGAGGAACAGAAATAAATCACTTTTAAATAACTTATTATAAGTAATTAAAAAGTTGAGTTCCAGCTGAAAATATAATAAAATGTATTCAAGGGATAATAAAAACAATGTCATTCTTTTTTCAGTATACCAATTAGAAATAAAGATGAAATGAGAGAAGCTTCACTTATGAGAATAACAATAGGATACAAGACCAAAATAATTTACTGCTGAAATTGTAATTCAGTTATTTAAAAGTGACAGAGCTCTCTTATTTATGGCTCTGGTTAGGACTGCAATTTATCTCAAAAACAGAGAACTACCACATCCAGACTCTGATAAAATTTAAGCTTTGATATAAACCTGCTTTCTCTCTATAAACTCAAAATTATTATTACAGTTTTTTTGGCAATAGCAAAAAGAAAATTAAAATCACCAGAAATATATATATATATCTTGTGATATATGTGCAGTCTTTAAATATCAACCAAACAACGTAATATTTTGTAAAATTATAAGCCAGGGAGCAGATTATAGATATTTTGATATTTTTAAACAGTATAATAAAATAGCTACTATTCAAAAAGCAGTTTCAAAGTTATTTATAAACATCAATATATTGTGAATATTTTTGTTACTGATTTATATAATCCTAAAGAAACTTACTTTAACCATTCATTCTCAATCAGTCATATTGGACTAGATAACTACAATTACTAATACCAAAACAATTCCAGTTTTTAATCCATAGTAGATTATGATAGTATCTTTAATTTGGCAGATGACTCAGAAATTTAAAGGATCTTCTTTTACATAAAATGATGCTTAAAAATTTGTTTGTAGCATGTCTTTTAATATAGATGAGAGATACTGAGGTACATTAAATGATTTTTTTAAAAAAATACACCTCTTTTGTGAGGAATGTAAAGTCACTCATCATGAGATGAACTTTTCTTTTTCTTTTTTTTCTTTTTCTTTTCTTCTGACGGCTATAAAAACAAAATTTCAAATTACAAGTTTGATATAAATTCACATTAACATAAAACCAAGATTTTTTTTTTATTTTTAAATATTACAAAGAAATTTTTAACAGTATTTCATTTTATAAAAATATAGCCAAAATGTAATTTAATAACTATTTCATATAAAAAATTATTTTCCAAATGTTTACAAAAATGAAAAAAATTATTTAGAAAATAAAGTTATCACTGTTGTTTCTATAATACAATATGGTATACAACTAACGCCATACAATTAATATTATTTATCACAAAGGCCAGCAACAAAAATAGAATTTTATGAAGCACACAAACAGTAAAAACATTTCTTCAAAATTTTCTTTGCCACAGTTTTCATATCCAAAATTAATTTTAAAAATTTAATCCTTTTATTAATAAAGAAACTTTTTACACTTAGATTAAAGAACTGGGCATAATAACTTGATTACCTTAGAACTAATAAATAAGCAATTAATTATAAAACAATGAATCTAACAGACTGCTTTTGTAAAAGACTACTTAAAAATCTATGTCGGAAATAATCTAATTATTATAAATAATAACACCCAACAATGAATACAATTTAAATTGATTAGGCTACACATATAACAATTCAATAAATTAGTTAATAATTATTTTAAATTAATAATATATCAAGATGTTAAATAAATACAATGTTAAAATAATTTCTTAGCCAAAACTACTGAGTATGAAATGAAAGAAATATGAGAAAAATCAATTTATTCTTTAAATTCTGAATAAAACTTTTTATTCACAGAATATTAAATTTATCATATAAATTTTAGATTTATATTATAAATATGTCAGAAATGTTTTCCTCAGTGTCTATCTCCATTTAAAAGACAGTAGAAAACTGGATACAGATTTCAGTATTCTATACTTCAGTATTCTATATTTCAGTATTCACAGATTTAAAGTACAGAAATTAGTTATTACAAAGATTATTGATAAAGTCTTTAAATTCTCTTTGTGTGTTTTTGTTTTTAATAATATGAATTAAAACATTATTATGGATTTGTTTGAACAAAATTTCAAATTACAAGTTTGATATAAATTCACATTAACATAAAAAAATATTTGTTTGTTAAATTATTAAATGTCTGAAATAAAATAAACATAAAAAAAACAATAAACACATTTTTATCTATTTACAAATCAGTACTAAATCTAAAATAGCATTTTTAATTAACTTTACAATGTTGATCATATGTTGAGTAGTGAAAAATAATCAGTTTTATGCTCTCTTTCCTTATGCTAAGAAAAGAGGTGCGTAACAAAAATTAACTTTATGGGAAACAAGAAAAAAGTGTTTCTTTCATCATTTCCCCCTCTTTCTGTCTTTAAGCTAAGATGCAAACCTGAGCTAATTAAATTTTAAAACGAAAACCAAATGATCTGCATTTATATTTACTTCTTCTATTATAACATTACCTTCTAATATATCTCGATTAGCATAGAAATTTAAAGGCTTAAAAAATACATTTCTACTTTAAATACCACTTTATTTATATAAACTGCTTATTAGAACCTTAATATAAGTTCAATACTTCAATTAAAGCTGTAATCTAGTTTAGCAATTTAAGCATGCACTTTATTATACGTATAGAATTAAAATACTATACATATTACAAAGAAGTACTAAATTACCATGTCAGATTCTTCAGCACTATGAGCATGCTTATGTTTATGCTTTTTTTCTTTATGTTTTTTCTTTTCTGGACTTTTTGGCACTGGTACCTCCTCCTCGCTGCTATCATCAGATTCTTCAGCACTTGGAACTTGCTATAAAAGAAGTAATTTAAAAATAAATAACATTACTCTGAATAACTATTATTTAGTACAGTAGCTCACAACATAATACTTAAAACAAAATGAAATGGTTCATTACAATAGCGTAACTCATAGGAATTTAATTTTCCTAAAATTTTTACTTAATACTTTTGGAAGCAATTTTTTGCAATAAATATCTCCTTAAGTATATGAACAGAATCCTCTTCTTTGAAAACTTCAGTAAAGATATTACATTTAACAAAAGAAACATATAGTAGAAACTTTTCAATGCACAAACAATTAAAAAATTAGATGTTATTCTTTCCTTTCTGAATTGCTCTTTTATGGTCTCAGAAATAAACCCCATAAACTTCTTTCTTGTTTTGCGGGCCAAATATCAAAAAAAAAAAAAAAAAAAAAAAAAATTTGGCGGGCCAAGATGAATTTTTTTAAAATTTTAAAAACAATATGCAAGTATTACAATTTAATATGTTAATTTTTTAAAATGAAATCGCGGTTTCATTTTTAAAAGTTCCTTATACTGAGGCTCGAAGTGAGATATACTGATTCTAAGCAACAAAGCTAAATGCTCACCAGTCAGTCTACTTCCGAAATAATTCTTTCTAAGATTCATAGTTGAAAACACTTGTTCACATATATAAGATGAAGCAAACATAGCACTGATTTTTGGGGAGTGAGATATAAAATTTGGGAAACTTATGTAAAACTCTAACTTTGATATATTTAGAAACAACTGCTTGAGATTATTGTTAGATTGCAACTCAATTAATTCAAGCTGTAAAACTGACCTCACTGCTTCACAGTTTACATTGAAAGGCATGGCAAAAACATCCAATTCTGTTTGAATGGCACTGAAATCTTGAAATCTGCGTACAAACTCAATATACAGTTTTTCAAGCCATCTTCATAATTCTTAAGCTTCTCTTCATTTACTGAGGGTATTGAATGGGAATGAAACAAGTCGTTCTTAGCTAGCTGCCCAGCAAACAGATTAAGTTTTGAGATGGACGCAGATATCATCCATAAACTGATTTTTCCCTAGCATCTTGACATTCAATTTGCTCATATGACAAAGAAGACCTGTGAAAAATGCAAAGTCTGAAAGCCCTTCTGTATCTTTCATACTCTGCAGAACACTGCTTCTTATGGAAGAGCAACACAATGTTGTCTTTCAGATGCCAAACTCGCTCGAAAAAACATCCTGCACTAAGCAACCTTACTTGCGTATAATGCAGTACACCGGGGTATTTAGATTGCACGGACTGAAGAAAATCTCAAATTTTCTGCGAGTAAGCCCACGAGATCGAATAGTATTTACAAGCTTCACAACTGCATTAAGCACAGTGTAATATTCAATGCAGATTTACATAGAGCATTTTGATGTATAGCACAATGTAGAAAAACAACATTGTTCCCAGGATAGTTTTAATTAAAGAGTCCAAGAAATCAAGATTTTTTTTTTTGTCATATTTGGTGTTCCATTGGTCGTAAGATAACATATACTATTTGTTATAGGCACTTTCAAACTTAAAAGCTCTTCCTGAAATTCATGAAAAATATCACATTTCATTGTAGTTCTCTTCGTTTCGTTGTAATAGAACGCATGCACGCCAGTTTCTTAGTAATTTCAAAGTTTTCATCAACACCTCTTATAAATAATACTAATTGAGCAGTATCACTTATATCAGTGCTTTCATTCATAGCTATGGACCAAAATTTAAACTGGTTAGTCTTTGACTCTAAATGTGATGTCAAATTTTTATCGACGGCTTCAATTCTAGATGTCATCATTTTTCAAGATAAGCTTTACAGTCTCAAAATTATTTTTCTTGTCTGGACATAAAACATCACAAATTTAGAGCATACATTGTTTAACAAACTCCCCATCACTGAGAGCTTTATTATTTTTAGCAATATTGTACGCTACAATGTAACTTGCATGTGTAGCTGCTTCTTGAATACTGTTCACCTTCTTGAAAAAAATTTTCTTGGCCTGATAATTTTTTACAATGACTTTCTGCATTTTGTTTTCTTTCATATTCAGACATTGCTTCGTAATTGGAATTATTGGATTCCCATATGTCTGCTTCCCGAGAAAGAGATAACACTTGTTGGCCTCAATCTACAGCTATAACTAACAAAGAACTTCTGATTTTAACTCTTTACCAATTGAAAGCTATCTATGCCTGCTATTTCCGTTGATTTATACAGTCAAAAGTCTTTAATCCGGACTCATCGGGACTTCGGCGATTCCGGATTATCTGTTTTTCCGAATTATAGATCATCAGTTTAAATCTGGTAAGATGGCATGCAGAAATTATAAAATTAAAAACATGACCGTAATTTATGAAATAAAGAGCAATTATGATCTAAAGGGTATCAAAAAAAAAAGCTTAATATTTATTTGTTTACTTTATTAAACATTTCTTTCAACGTGCGCATGCGTAAAGCTTACATTACATATAGTCGAAATTAGAAAATTGCAACCAGAAAACTATTTGATGGGTATTCGCGATATTTATAATGACGAGGAATTTGATTTAAATCATATCAAAGACAGAGTACATTGAGATGAAATACTACATTTAGTAAGGAATTATAAGCTGAATAAAATAAAAACATCTGCCCTGAAGATAGTGCTGACAGATCAACTTCCAGTACATTGCACACCGCATCGGTCCCTCCATGCGTTAACGCATTATGCGTTGACACATGCGCAGAAAGTTTGTAGCTTTAAGGTCCAGATTACAGATCATTCCGGATTAAAGACTTTTGACTGTATTTTGTAGGAAAAAAATAGAGAAAGTAAAAAGATCATCAGTCCTTTGAATAAAAGGAAGAAAAAATATAACATTTAAACAAAGTAGAAAAGGAAATAAATATAAAATATATAAATATGTATTTCATTTAATTTGCCTTGGACCGGCAAATTAAAATTCTATCTGCGGGTCGGGTAGAACCTTCTGGAGAGCCATAGTTTGCCCATCCCTGTCTTAGGAGATAGTCTCCGTGCTCTTCATTGATGTGTTTCTACTTTCCTCTTTTCTGCCTCGCAGAGTGGAATGCAGCACTATGTTCTACGGCAATTATTACCATTCTGGATGGATACTATCACCCCTCTTAATTTGTACAAACAATTTAGAATCATCATATATAGCACAAAATGGGACTGGATTTCTCTCTCATATTTGATCTATCTCACTGGAAAGGGAATTTAAAAACAAGAACAGTGTTATGGGATAGACATTGAATATGTCAGCAGAAATGTACAACACGATAATATTATCAGAGTCATATAAGAGCCATCAGGGAAGGATAGATCATTGTAGGGTTAACCTTCCAGCACGCACGCATTCGCAAAATTTATGACAAATTCAGTTTTTAATGCACATTTTTCGCATATCGAAGCTGAGAGGTCTGAAGGTTATTTCTATTCCTCCTTTCTACCTTTCCCCACATTATGGAATGTGCCAACAGGAAGTCATTTGAACTTTTTTTTACTGGTTTTTTGTGCTATGTGGAATCTTTTTCATAAAAGTTACGACACACATGTAGTCGTGTTTTAAAATTCGGAAAATATTTTTTTTCTCAAATATTTTGTAATTTTGTGTTATTAATTTCCACGTATTATTTTAATTCGAATACATTTGGCTCTGTAAATTTTATATCGGTTTTCATAGAAAAAAAAAAAAGAATATGTGCAACCAGCTGATTTTGCTCACATTTTTCAAGAATTCTCTGAAGAAAAGGAAGACAAGGAAACCTTTGGATGGGAGAACAATAGCGATTTCCGTTCCTTATTTTCTTTTATTTCTATTTTTTAGAAATAAATAAAAACATTAAAGTTAGCTTAAAGTGCATTTTTGTAACTAAAAAGAAGTAAATTTCTTTGCAGAAGTAAGTAATGCTAAACTTACTTTTTCCCTACCAAAGTGGTTTCCTTTTTTATTTTCTATACTTGTCTCTGATGAATATTAAAATTAGCTTCGATTTTAAAAAATGTAATTATTAAATAATAAATTTAAAATTTTCTATAATGAAATATATCATTGCATTTTGATCTCACTAACAATTTACTTATATTTGAATGTGATATCATTTGTATTTTGCAATAATAAGATTAATATTTCATTTCTTAACAAATTTATTATCAATATTCAATCATTTCTGTCGTTTTGTGTGCCAAAAACCGTAAAATAACGGATGTCGTAAAAAGTACGACACGCACGTACTCATGTAAAATTGCCAAGCGCGCGTTCCAAAAGGTTAAGGAAGTTAAAAGTGTTGACCTATTTGAAACAGACAGATGGCAAATGATTCACGAGTTAGAATAACCAGGTAAGACTGTGATGTTCATCAGCACAATCCTCCATATAGCATTGCTGTGTGGAAGTATATGACCTACTTTGTTTTTGCACTACATATAAATGGCTTTCATGAATTTCTACTATTTTGTTAAGCCCTTTGCAAATTTATTGGAAGCTCTGTTTAAGGCTATGATTACAAAATTTCCACAAGTGTTTGTTCCAATCTGTTACTGTTTTGCCAGCAACACATTCAGCTACAATTTTCTAGGTTCAACAGGTGTAATTCTCTCAACCTCCTCTAAATGAACTGGAGTGCAGTCACAAATGTGATTCTATAGCCCTTGTACTCTTTATCCCCCCCCAAAAAATCAACAGAACAATAATAGTTTATTTATATTCTTCTTCATAAAAACAAAATGTGGCTTATCAAGAATCAGTATCAAACAAAAGGACAGATGTATGCAGTGTACTGTGAAGTCATGATCCATGATTGGTGCTAAATCACACTGCTTAGCTACAATTTTATGGTAAGTGGGATAATATGTAAGTACCAATACATCATTTAACATTAATTGTTAAACATTAATAAACACAAAATATGCATATACAATATTTTAAACTAAACGTTAACTTCAAAGAAGAAAACTTTCCTTTGCTTTAACTCAAGTGCAATAATAAATTACAACACAATGAGTGCCTAACAATGAACACTAACTTTTTCCTTCTGCATGTGACAAAAAACTACAGGAAGATAGGAAGGAATTCATCCATACTTTCAAATTGCAGATGGAAAGGATGGGAAAAGAGAATCCCTTTGCCCTTGACTAGCTGACTGCACCCATGCCATGTCTTTGCCTTTCCTAATATAAAGTAATTGAGCAGAAGAAAAATTGCACTGCATTAGATTTCCCACCATTTGATGGAAATGCAAAAATTTCACTGATATAACTGCTTATACCAACTAGTAACCAGGGCCATAGCTAAAGGGAGCAAAAGGGTACATCTGTCCTGGGCGCAGCATCTAGAGGGCACCGAACAGATGTTACAAATTTTGAGAATGAAATGCTTTCCATTCTTGGCAAACAAAAGGGGCATGAGAACTTCAGTTGTCCCCAACCGCTTAAAATCTTAATACAGCTCTGCTAGTAACATTACAAATATGAAGGAAACACTTTCTTATACTGTATCAATATGTCAGATACTATATCAAACATAATGATTAGACATGGACCAAATCATACATAAAAAAGAAAAATAAATAAAACACCACACAAATAATGTCATTATGGATCATCACAATAATTCAAAACTCAAGCAATGTGAAGATTATGATGATTCTCATATACAACTGTGATGGCATTATTCTAATACACACCGTAACCAAAACCAAACTGTCAATGTTGCAGTATTACAGCTCATTTATAGAACATAACCTGTAACGAATATTGCGTAAAAAGTAGCAAAATGAATAAAAAAAAGCTCCGATCTTTTTCCAAGATAGCTTTTGTATGCACTTAGTAAGATATGTAGCTGTTGTTTGCTCAATGGTAATTATGCAGATGAGGCTGGAAAGTATTCTAAGCATGCAATAAACTGTATGAATAAGTTTCAATTTTTCATATGAAGGAACTATTTCATAGCATTCATTTCTGAACTTCCTAAAGAATTTTATTTCTACCAAGAATGACAATTTCTTTAAAATTATCAATCGAACAGGTACAGGAGAAAATTATCAATCGAACAGGAACAGGGAGGTAAATTGTGATGCTATATGCGTGCATACAGGATTCGTACACATTTCTGCACACGGAAATTAAGTACTTTTAAGGACCATTAATGAAAAAAATTAAGGACCTATGAGCAAACGGGAACTGAATAAATTCAGTTGAAGATATTATCTATGCCTGAATTTCACTTTTGTAATACCATCCTCAACATAAAATAGATCCCTAAGTAGTATGCATTATTACTAAATATGAATTAATTAACATAATTGTTAATAAGTTTGAGAATAAAATAAACTATGCAATTTATCAAGTAGCATTCAGTATTTTACACTTATGATAGCTAGTCATATTTGAACGTTTATATCGATTTGCTTCTCTTTTAAGCATCTTTTCTAACAATTACAGATTTGTCTCAATATGCAAACCAATGCTCTCACTAGTTTCTGCGTGCTTCATCTCCTAACTTGTCAACCTCTCCATAATGTTCCTATGAGGGTTTAATTGATCTGGTAAAAGTTAAATAGTCCAACCCCCCCCCAACAGACGTGAAGCATATTATCGCTATGTCTGAAATTAACTACAATATCAGACAAAGGTTTAAATAAGCCTCTTATTTAAAAAGAACTTGGAACATAAAGGCATGTTCTGATGCTAACAAAATAAATTACAGCTCACGGTGACATAATTAAGCAAGAACAGTCAGATTATACTAATAATGTGGACTAGTGGTCAAAAATTATACAATTTAATTGTAATTTAATCTGGCTCAATAACTCTATCATATGAGGAAATAGAAATGGGAAATTATAGTAAAGGTTGAAACCATAAACAATTGGGTAATTTACATAATAATAACTGCACATATCTTTGAAGAATAATTTCCTTTATGTACTCAGTTCCTTTCTTCAATGTGTTTCCATTTCATTTTAGAATTTTTGGATTTAATTAAGGATTTCTGTTATTCTAAAAAACACTAAATGCATTTAGAATGTACAGAAAAAGTGGCTAATTTTATTTCTTTAGTAATATGAACATTCAGAAACAATATGAAATATATATAGTAAAGGATGGTTACAGAGCTGATGTGGCAGAAATTCTAGAATTTAGTGACACACCGAACAACAAAATCTAGAAACGGCAAAACTTTTAGAATTTAAAGCAAGCATTGGAAGCAGAATTTAGAAAGGCAGTAGGCAGCAGAATTTAGGATCCACAGGGATTGCATCAGGTGGGAAAATGCCTAGTGCCAGCTATGTGTATGATGCATTAAGAAATATTAGATGAATCTTTTAAATTGTAAGTTTTCAATTCCTTTATTAATAAAAAAATCCTTTTTTATAATGCCTGCCCATGTGATAAGATCAGAAGCATTTTTGATATTTTCCATGTTTCTGTCTAGTGAAAAGTAGAGAAAATAAAGGGAAGATAAACATGTTAAGATTCTAGTATCAGAGGTAAAACATTTAAATATTATGTTTTCATTGTTCTTTCAGATGTTCTCCAAAATGTAAGAAATTCATCTCAAACTTTCTGTAAAATACATCCACATATTTCACACATATTTCTCGAATCTTCTAGAATCGTGGGTCTATAAATCTTGCCTTCAAATGCTTCTAAACTTTCCAAGCTGAAATGTCCAAAATCCTAAAGAAAAATTATTCCTACCATTTCTGTAACAGAAAAAAGCCAGAAATATTTTGGAAAAAAGTAGGAGGGAAAAAGTATAAAATTAATTTTATAGAGAAAACTGATGCACATTCTGAGAATTTTGAATATTCTGAGACAATTACATGGGAAAAACTCTTACTATGAAAAAATTAAAAACAAGACTTTTTAATTAATTACATAGCTAATTTTGCTTTTGCTAAGAACTGTTTTGTAAATTGTGCTTTACAGCATTATATTTCTTTTTCAGATTTAAAATATTGTATAAGTTGCCAAAATGAAACTTTATAATATGACAGCAAAAAAAAAATTTTTTTATTTTAATGTTATTTTTTTAATTTAATTTCAATATATTACCATTATTTTAATAAAATTTATCAATGTTATGATGTTTCAAAAAAAATCTTCGAAAAATTCTCAGATTTTGGAATTAAAAAGTTTCTATAGAAGCTAATCTTAGAATCGCCAAAATGTTGAAAAGCCGCCAAATTTAGAACAGTTTAATAAAAGAATTCACATCCCCAAAAGCGAAAAGTTGTTTAAAAGCTCTTCACTAGAAAAAATGAAATAATTTCGAAATGCTTATGTTTCACTTCTTGCTTAGAAACTCGAGTATCCCATCATTTATATTAGAAATAGAAATAAATTATAACTCATGAACCCATTCAAAAGATTACCATATATATGGCAGTGAATCGCCAAAAATATTGCTCAAAATGCTAATTCACACTCAAAATAACAGTCGTAAAAACAGACAGAAATTTCAGATGATTAAGGACCTTCTGTTGATTTTAGCCAAAATTAAGGACTTTTAAGGACCAAAAATCGATTTCAAAAAATCTAAGGACTTTTACTTATCTACCGGCCGACACACAGGCGTGCCAGAGCATTGTTGCGTTTTCTACCGAATGTCACGTATTTGTGCCAGTACCTTGGAACGTTTTTCAAACTATAATTTCTGCCACAAGATGGCACTGTATGCCCATATGGTTTCAGATACATGTACATTAGACCTTCTACTCGAAATGAGAGAAGCATGACTCACATACACGTGTTTTTGATTATATAAATAAACGGGGAACAAAATGTTTCCGAATGGCGTGATTTATGACGTCTCTTTAAATCGCACTTTATTCGCACGTGGTAGTTGTTTATTGGAAGTAGAAGTTTTATATGCGCTAAAGCGTTGAGTATTTCGGTTTGCAGTTCAGTTTTTAGAAAATAATTAGATCTTGTTAGATGTGAATTCTTTCTGTTTTTAACGTTTCAATGTCGAAGCGTCGAAAATGTTTAACAGAGCATGAAATAGCAGAAATGATGCAAAATATTTCAGATATTGATTCTGAAATTCTGATATTCTGATATTGATTCTGAAAGATTAACTGAAAGACATTTTCCAAAACTTTGTTCAGAAGAGACTGATAAGAAAGTGAGACGACGATGCTTCGTTTGTTCACATTCCCGGAAAAATCCTCCAAAACGGCAAATGAGTTATTACGAGTTCTAGGAATGTAACGTAGGACTGTGTGTAGATCCCTGTTTTCAAATTTTTCATATGAAAAGAGAATTTTAAGTAATATATTTAGTTTCCAGATGTATAATGTTAAAAGTCATAAAATGGTGAGTAATTAAAATAAAATGTGTAAAATATGCATTTAGACAAGAAATAAGGTAATTAAAGTATATATATAAAAATATCTATAAAGCATAAGCCGTTTAAATACTCTATAGAGCATTATTAAACAATGTGTTGATACTTCGGAAATTTCATGGATTTAGGCTTAGTAGCAAAAAAGCCCCCGGCCCTGGAGAGACGCTCGCGGAAGACACTGCCGGCCTCCGCGATAAGCGCGCGTTTTCGCTACCCGGCTCGAAGGGGTTAAGGACCATACGAACCCTAGCATATTATTTTATTTTCAACGAAATATAATTTCATACCAAAGAACTTACTTTCTTTTGTGCTTCTGAAATACTGTCATCTGGCTTTTCCTTTTTGATCTGTGGGGTAGGAGAGGTAGGCTCTGTTTTCACAATACTAAGAGAATGAATATTTAATAATATAAGTCAATTTGTAATATAAAATTATACTTTTAATGCTGCATTCTATTTCATGAAAATTCTATGAACAAATACATAAAACTAAAAAGAAACATATAAATAAAATCTTTCATTATAACTTATTTTGATCGTTTATTAAATTGATCGTTTATATTAAATTTCATATAATGTTGAGTCTTGTTAACATATTCTGATTTATGTAAACAAACATATAGTAAAATATATGTGTAAATACAGTACCTAGAGAAAATTCTGTCAACAGCAAAAACTGGCAAGAATCTCTGCCAAACCATTACATGGCAAAACGGCCATCATTGCAATGGTAAAAAATTTTCAATTGCGTTCAAGATAGAACGAACAACAAATGTATTTTCTTCTTTGTAAAGCCAGGAGAACATAAATTCATCAATATGTGAATCTAAGCAAAGACATGCAGTTCCCTGCTGTTTTCTAATATACCTCAGAGTCATTCAATTTTGAAAAGTGGGGATCACCAAAGTTATATCAATGGTTAACACTTTAAGATGTCCAAAGCTCACAGTCGTTAATTCATTGGCTTTACAACCTTCTACGAGTACAAATAAATCAAAAATTCTTCTTCAATATTTTCTTTTACTGCTTGCAAAAAAGTAAATGCCTTTCTAACAGAAAATTTTTTGATAAAACACTTCTTGGTCTTCCTACAAATTCCAAGAATGTAATATTTATTCTTTAAGTATCACACTTAAACATTCAAAAACTGTCAAAATTAACAGTAAAGACATTTTAAAACAGCAAAAAAATTTAATTTTTATTACATTATTTTTATAAAAATGTAATTTTAATATATTATCAGTTTTAATGTAGCATGAGAGTATTACTTTTTACAATACAGTGTTATACAATAGTGTTACTTTTTAACCCTCTGAGTGGAACATCTTTTGGAATCTGCCCATGAACATCTGCAGCAAAACAGTATTTATTAGCTAAATTTGTATAAATACATACATTAGTCACTGTTTTTGTGAACTTCCATTCATTAAGATGATATTTGCATCATTAAAAAAGTAAGAGAGCAAAATATTTTAAATTATAAGATAATATATACCAATTGACAAAACATTTCATGACCAGATGAATATGGTCATGGCACATGGGGTTAAATTATGAAATTCACAAATCAATAAATCTAATTTTTTGTAGCCAAACTAATCTTAAAGTCATAAAATTCGTGACGCATACCAATAAAATTTTATCTTCTGAAAAGAGAAAGAACTTACTTTGATGTAATCGAGAGGATAAATTTAAATGGTAATTTGAATGTCAGTCAAAAATATGTTTTAAATGTACACCCGATGACAAGTTGCCAAAGTGAATGAATACTCAGTGGCTTTTACAAGATTGCAAAATATATAAAAATTAATTTTTAAAAATTTGTAAAAACTGCTAAACATCTTTAAATGTTAGGAAATATAAACTTTCCAAATAGTGAAAAATAGAAATTCTACTTAAACATACATCATCGATTTATTACTCAAAATTGTATATAAAACAAAATTTTCTGTGTGATAGTTTATTTTATCATGTAATTTAATAAGGAATAAACATGGAATAAGTTTTTCATTGTTTATTTTCTTTCTTACATATTTAGCTCCCATGGTCCTACTTTTCTGATATCTTTGTCATTTTAATAATTTCAGTGTGTCATGTTAAATGACATGTCTGAGGACCCACAATGCAAACAGAAAGATATGTGCATTGTTATTTTTACAGCAACATGCCATGCATAGCTATATTCTTGGATGTTGTTTCAGAAGTAATAAGACAAGATTCTTACTGAAATTATACCGTTTCTCAGACTTTTCCCAATTTCCAAAAACTAAATGAAACAATTTATTTCGAGAAACATAATAAATTAGTTATTAAGAATGAATAGTTGAATAATTTAATGCATTTACATAATACATTAAAATACAATGAAGTAACCAAGAGCATTCTTAAAAAGAAAACTAATTCCTTTCACTTATTACTGTAAAGCAAATGAAAGAACTTTAGATAGTTCTTGATTACTCACAGCCAAAATGTTGTGAACTCATATGGAACTTTGGAGACCTTTCGTAAATTAGTTGCTGTCTCAGCATCTTTATGTGTATCTCAACAAAGCATCCAGTAATATCTATTTCTTTTACATTCTTCTCCTCCCCCCCTAAAAGGCATGCACATGTGTATCAGCCTTTTGTGCTGTTTTTCTCCCCATGCACATAATGATCTGTTTTTGTTCCAAAAAAATATTCAGGAGTAAAATATAGAAGCAGATATGGTATACTGATGCAATGACATTTCTAGATTTAAACTAGACTTGCTGACATAACATATATCCTACTGCTTGTTATTCTCTTGAGAAAGCATATGCTCATTTGACTTCTAGGAACTGATTCCACCTCAATGGTGAATAAATAACTTTGTTTAGCTGGTTTTACGAAGCACCAGTAATTATAAAGGCATCTTTGTATCAATATGAAAGCTATTTATTTTACACATAACAGTATTATTTAACTAGTTAATACAAATTTTTATACAATCAAACAATACAACATTTTTGTGCTTTGTAAACAGAAGTAAAATTCAAATTGCTCTGCAGAGGTTCCCCCCCCCAATGCCAACAGAAGTTGACAATTGCTTTTACTGGAGAGTCAGAAGTAAAATTTCAAAAGAGAAAAACACAAGTTTTTGTATAACAGTTTATACACATTTGAAATAATAGATTATTTTTTTGACAATTATTTCTACGGTATGCAAAGCCATATACACAATTAAATTAATTAAAACACTCCATGCAATACCTTCAAATAGCATAAGAGCAGAATGAATTTAACATAAAATGCTTTAAAAAAAAAACTAGAAACCAATGTTGTTTACTCACCCATCTTTAAAAATCTCAGACCAATCAGCTGGAGTTTTTTCATTTGGATTACCATACTTGTCTAATAAACCTTCTTGTATCATCTTTTTTTTAAGTGAGGCCTAGAATTATTAATAACAAAATTTAGTTAACTTTAATGTGTTTTAATTTAAAATAACTACCAATAAGCATATGACATACACCTAATGGTAATCATGTAATATGTGATCTATTACTTTTAGTTAGTTATTTATTTTTTAGATGATTACAAAAAGGGTTCTGTAAAATCAAAAAATCATACTTCAGAACAAAAATTTTTAGCAATAAAAAAAAGCAAAAACTAATTCTCAGATAGAAGATTTAAACTTTATATTTCACTGGCACTTAAAGTAGCACTCATTCTGGCAAATGAATTTTGCCTGCACCCTGCATGTTTGTTTTATCCTTTAGTGGCTTGGATCTGAAAGTCGCCTCAGATGAGTGAATTTACATAAAGTCTACAAAAGCTTGCCTACTTTTCCTTCACCTTCTTTGGAGAAATGATGTATGCAGTTTGAGGTTCTTCATAAAAGAAAATTAGACAGCACAGTAAAGAATTTTTATGCAGCAAAGATAGATATAATATTCAAGTTTTGCACACCTAATCAATGTGTCTCCATACCATTACAATTGATTGCACACATGAATGTCCAAACAATATTCTAAGTTCAGACATGTATGTTATGTAGATATAAAAAAATGACATTTCAAGGCTGGGATAATGGGTACTCATAGATCACTAGATATGACCTTATCTTGTATACCATGCCCCTGATATAGCCTCACAGGAAAAGTTTAATTTTTTGGTGATTAAAACTAGGATGCCATTTCAGATGACAGGGATGCCATTTCTGTTTACTAGATACACTAGCTTGATTACTTGTCACAGGAAATTAAGGCACTGCTAACAAGCTTTGATAGCTGCTAGGTTCTTTCCCATAAAAAGGAATGCATTTTTCATTGTAAAAGACAATAAAGTTGTATACATAATTTGTGAATGCCTTGTATATCAGTGCCTAAGATGGAACTCTTTTAGTCAGTCATCATGGTACTATCAGATAAAGATGTGATCATTATGGTGCTGCAGGCAATGATAGTTATATCAATATATTTTTCTGTCATCTGGATTAGTCTCACAAGATTACATGCTATTCATCCTTCATTTTTAACATGCTAGGCATCATTATGGCCATAAGCATTTGAGCTATGCAATTAAGTTCAAGGAAGTGAAGGAGTACCTTAAAAAACCTGCCTCACACAGCAGACATCGCCAATTATGTCTCTCATTTTGTGATGTGAAGATGTTACTGGGCTCTTTCACATAAGTAAATTTGCCTATCTTTGAACCATCAATTCCATATTTCAAACAATGTACCAGTATTCTGTCTGTGTTATTCATTTAAATGTTTCCTCATGACTTATGAATCACAGAAATTTGGGCTTATCAAAATGGTTTCACTGATGTTGCAATTTTACAAACATCACTGTATTTAGTTACACAAATTTTGACAAAAAAAATTACCCTCCATGATTTCAAGTTAAGTAAAATAAATTATAAAGGATAGGTGCCATTAAAAAACTCAAGTAAACTTAAAGAAAAAAAAAAAAAATAGTAACCTTTGAGAATTTAAAGAAACAGAAATTACTTACTTTTGGTCCTAAGCCCCATTTTCTAGGATATGTATCTCGTTCCATAACGACTCTCTTTATTTTAGCAACAATTCCATGATCACAGCTACAAATTGTTGATGTAGTCATCAGAGCAATAGCTAAACAAAAGATAATTTAAAATGCATTTAAAAGAATGCAAAAAATGTAGCTATAATTTTTTTTCTTCAAATACAGTCAAAAGTCGTTAATTCAGACACCCATAATCCGGAATGATCTATAATCCGGACCTCAAAGCTACAAACTTTCTGCGCATGTGTCGCGTTCACACATGCGCACAGGCGTTTACGAGTGTGCGTAAGACCTTTACAGATGCGAATATGTTTTTGCACAAAAACATATTCGCATCATAACAAAAACATATTTAATGTGTAACGAATGGGACATGATTTAAATCATGTTCCTCGTCATTATAATCCGCTTCCGATAGTGAAGAAAGTGACCCACAGGTTATTGAAAACGAAAACATTTCGATTGACAAATTAGTCGGTATTCTCAACACAGCAATTATAGGACTTGAACAGCGGAACTTTGTAACTAAACAAGAAATTATGTCTGTTTAATAGAATTAAAGAGAAAGTTTTATCATATGAAACGAAGCAACTTACATTAAAAGAAATGTTTAATAAAGTAAACAAATAAATATTAAGCTTTTTCTTTTTGTAAATTTTGATACCCTTTAGATCATAATTGTTCTTTATTCCATAAATTACGGTTTCATATTTTTAATTTTGTAATTTCTGCATGCCATCTTACCAGATTTAAACTGATGATCTATAATCCGGAATCGCCGAAGTCCCGACGAATCCAGATTAACGACTTTTGACTGTATATAAATTACAGTGCAGTCAGTCACTGTGATGCATGTAATCCAGTCACTGATCATTCATTAAAACAATTCTTGTAACTATCAAGCAATATTTTTTGCAAATATCCATGATTAAAACAACTTTTGAGTTTTCAACTTCTTTGTACTTAATGCATTTCTGAAGTTGCATTTCACCATGCACTCTGTTATGAAAATTGTTACTTTTACGATATTCTGTCACTCTCAAAGAAAGTTTCTAACAACCTAATAAAAGGCTTGCAATTTTTTTTAAATTATTCTTCTGTTTATTTGGCTCAATTACTGTCTGCATCCAAAATAAAATTTAATGATTGTCATGAAATTTTGTCTAATATACAGAGTGCAATATATCTCTATATCTACTATCTCGTTTTATTTTCATTCAAATAACAAACAATAATTTTAATATTGCAATTTTTTTTAATCTATATCCTATACATTTCTATACTCTTTTTGTTCAAAAAAAGCAGAATTGTTTGAAATGCACAAAATGAAGGCTGGAGCTCTAAATATTTAAACTCCTTTTTAACAGTGTTTCAATTTTATATGGTATATTTTTTAACTTAAACTGAGAAGTAAGATCTTGCTGCAAAAATTGAACCAAAACTGAAAAGGTAGATATAAGCTAAAATTAAAATTACTCTATAAATTCAGCAATATATCACCAGAAGTGCAAATAATTGGTTGCCTAAATTAACTAGATCTATCAGACTATATGAGGGTCAGTGCGCCAAGTGAAACAGCACTGCTGGCACCAAAAGTTTCACTTTTTTCATTCTCCCAATTTTCAGGCTTGTGCATAATTTTGCACAATGTAACAGCAAGTCAAATTTTACTTTAATTATCAGCTTCAGAGCTAACTGATCTTAATCAATCATAAAAAAAATTTCCTCCTCAACTGAACTGCCACCTTTTACAAATAAAATGCAAGTCTTCATTGCATCTATAAATTGAAAGATACCCTGACAAAAAAGAACTGCATATTGTGCTAATTCTAAGCTACATATTATTTTTTTTTTTTTTTCCTAAATACTTCAATAAATGATTGAGCTTCATTTTTAGTGAATGAAAAACAAGTCTGTCAATGGAGGGAAATAAAATTTGAAATTACTATGATGCCCAAGTACAAAAAAAAAGGGGGGGATTGCAACTGAGCTTCATCATTCATTCTTCAAACTAGAAAAGAAATCTGTACAAGGTCACAGTAACGCACAATCACAGTCACAGTAACGCAAAATGATTGTAATATGCACAAACATCCAAATAAGGATGCTAAATATGTCAAAAAATATTATTTCCAGTGCTAAAAACTTATAAGATTTGACTATTTCCATGGGATAGTCTACAAACTCAATAATGGCATCTAAAAAAATGTTGGATAAAGTATGACACAAAAGGAAGGAAGCCATTTTTATTAATCCACTGTCCTTGAGTGAGATTTACAGTGGATGGACAAAAATATGGAAACACCTCGTGAAATGCATGTTTGAAAAGAAAGATTGATTTTAATGAAATATGTAGATGGCGCTGGCGTTTTTGACTACTGACGCCACCTGTACAACTTCGTAAATGTGCTAAACAGTTCAGTTGTTGTCGGAGTACTGTTATGTGAGGTTGTCATTGCATTATGTCAGAGTTAACAGACTTCGAACGTGGGCAAATTGTTGGAGCACATATGGTAGGTGCTTCCGTAAGCAAGGTAGCCGAGGTGTTTAGTGTTTCAAGAGGTACTGTATCGAAGATTTATTCCGCGTATTTGAAAAGCGGAAAAACATCATCTGCTAAATCACAGCGCGGACGAAAGTGTGTCCCGAGTGATCGTGACAGACGATCATTAAGGGCCATTGTGACGAAAAATAAGAAGACCACAGCTGCAAAAGTTACTGCTGAAATGAATGTTGTGTTACCGAACCCTGTGAGTACAAAAACAATTAGAAGGGAGCTTCATAAACAGGGAATTGCTGGCCGTGCTGCAATTGAGAAGCCACTCATCAGTGATGCTAATGCTCATAGCAGGAAAAGATGGTGTTTAAGTCATAAAGCCTGGACTATAGAGCAGTGGAAGCGAGTAATATGGTCTGACGAGTCTTCTTTCACATTGTTTCCCACTTCTGGCCGAGTTTACGTCTGGAGAACGCCATCTCAAGCCTATAATACAGACTGCTTATTGCCAAGAGTGAAACATGGCGGGGTTTCTGTTATGGTTTGGGCAGCCATATCGTAGTTCTCTGCTAGCCCCATGATAACTGTGTCACGGCACATGACTGCCAAGAGTTATGTGAACATTTTGGCCGATCAAGTTCATCCCATGGTACAAACTTTGTTCCCCGATGGTGATGGTGTCTTCCAAGACGACAAAGCCCCTGTTCGCACAGCTCACATTGTCCAGGGCTGGTTTTCTGAGCACGAGGATGAGTTGTCCCATCTCCCCTGGCCACCATAGTCACCAGACCTGAATATTATCGAACCTTTGTGGTCTACATTGGAACGGAAAGTGCGTTCTCGTTATCCACCGCCAACATCGTTATCTGAACTTGCCACCGTTTTGCAGGAAGAATGGTATAATATTTATTCCCTTGGCAAACATACAGGAACTGTATTTATCCATTCCGAGAAAACTGCAAGCTGTTTTGGATGCCAACGGGTTTCCTACACCATATTAAGCAAAGAAACATGTTTTTTTAAAGGTGTTTCCATATTTTTGTCCAACCCCTGTATTTCAAAGGTACCTTATTGAAAAGGTGATGGAAAATGTTGGGAAATGAGGTGATTTGTGGCTGTGATTCTTGATGGCACTACATTTCCACTGCAACTTATTGATGTTTCAGTAAAGCAAATAGCCATCCAAAATAACCATTGAACAAAATGGATGGAATGAAACATATCAACATATAAAGCACACACAAATGGTAACACTTTAATAGGTCTCCGAGATTCTGCCACAAGCAACTGTCTAAGCATTCAAAAACATTGCATCAGCAGTGCTATAGATAGTGTTGATGATAATATCATCTACTAGGCAGATGACAACAATGCTCATGGCAAAATAAGAATGACATTTATTGTTTTAATGAAGATTTTATTTCTCATATTTCTAATTTTATTTTAAATATTAAATTCTTCTTGAAATGTCATACAGTACACTCCCGATTATCCGCGGAATTGGATGGTGCGGCCGCCGCGGATAACAAAAATCGCCGATAATCCGAAAAAAACTAAAAACGGGTATAGCAAAAGAGAAAACAGTCGTTCCAACTTTGAAAAATCATTTTATGTACAATAAAACGTAAAATAAACAGCAGGAAATGTTTAACTAATGCTTAATATTTTAATATATCACTCAAAACTAACCTAAAATGCATTTTGTTAATGAAAACAGAAAAGTGCTGTGTACTTACGAGAGGCGTCAAGGATACACAGAAAAATTAATACATATGTACTGTTTTAATACTGTAATGTATTAGGTAATTACAAAAGCATAACTGTAAAACTAGTACACCTTTTTGAAGAAATCAGTCATTTGTGTTTGCTTCTTGCTTTGGAAGCATTTTCTCTTGATTCGAGATTGCATTCACGGCCAACTCCACGTCGTCTTATTCTTCCAAATACCTCAGCAGTCTGTCGACTTGTTGCAAAGCTGCTTCGTGAGTCTTCCACCTCTGCACAGTGGGCTGGCTCTCCTTCGCCTTCACTTCGCTTTTCTTCATTCTCGGTCTCTCCCCTTGCTTTCTTCATAATTTCGTCATCTGTCAAGCGTTCGAAGCCAGGTTCGTTGGCGTCACACTCCAACCACTCGTTAATGTTTTCAGCATCGACGCTCTCCCCATCCGGAACTGATTTTACCATATCTGCAAGAGTTGTCGTGGGCGTGTACATCTTCATTCTCTTCTTCACAACTCAAAGGGGTTAGGTTGTTGTTGGCTTCAACATTAGGCATGTGTTTTCTCCATGATTTATTATGAGGGTTGACGGTTTCACCGAGTCCCATGCAGATGCAATATCATAGATGTTGTCCAAGATTGTGTAGTGTTTCTAAAACTCTTTCAGATCATAACCTTCCTCAATTTTGGTCATTAGCAGCTTGGTTCAGAATGTTCTCTTCATTGTTGCAATGACTCCTTGGTCCATAGGTTGGATTAGCGCAGTAACGTTTGGGAGGAGAAACTTGGCAAAAATTTGTCCATCAGAAGACTTTAGCACGCTTAATGCTGGGTGAGAATGTGTGTTGTCGATCAATAGCACAGCTTTTTCAGGCAAGTTTTTCGATTTAAGATGTTTAGTCACTTGAAGAACAAAGATTGTTTCGAACCATTCTTGAAAAATGTTTCGGTTTCTCCACCCCCCCCCCTTTTTTTTTTTGTTAAAGTAATCAATGAGCAAATTTTCTATCCTTGTGCCTTTGAATGATCTCGGTTTTTTTGACTTTCCAATGACAAGTCTAAGCTTATGTCCACCGATAGCGGTAATGCAAGACATGATAGTGATCCTTTCCTCGCTGCTTTTATGACCCACTGCTTTACTTTCACTTTCAAATGCTAAAGTGCGAGTGGGAAGACATTTCCACAAAAGTCCCGATTCGTCGGCATTTTGCCTTCGCCGCAATAATAGGACAATTTACAGGAGTACCCTCTTTTCAAACTAACCACTCTGTCAATGCCATGTCTAGCTCATCAAAGGTAGAACCCTTCATAGTTTTCTGTCCGACATTGATGCAAAGCTCACCAGTTTGTCTTTTTGCTTTAGAATGTCACGCACTGTTGTTTCCGCGATTCCATAATCCAATTCAATCTGCTGCCTTGTAGTGCCATTTCCTACTTTGGAAATTAATTCTAGTTTTTGTGCAATCGTCAACACAACCTTCTTCCGTTTTCCTGACATTTTAAATCGGTAAAGAAAAACACAAAACCAAAAAGCACAAGCACTGAACACAATAAAAGATGAGAAATTTACTCCGACCGGTTCGCAAACACTATCAGGCTTAAACTAACAATGGCGAGTGGCAGGAAGTGGACGTGTCAGTAAGATTAAGACGAGAGGGTGGTGGAGCGGGCACTGCAAGGGTGAGTACGAAATCACTTAGTCATCAGAGAGAGGGGAAGGTTCCGAGAAGGCCTGGGATATTTTTGCTATAAATAAGCATCATGTTAGCAGCAAATTTAATGTTTAAAAAAAAAAAAAAAAACACTTTGTGCGGCAGGCGCGGATAATCGGGAGTCTACTGTATTGTAATTCGAAATTTTTAGACTGCAAGATTTAAATTTTGTTGCTTATTTCAAAAGTACTTATGTTTTCAAACTATAATAACGTTTAAATTATATTAATGATTCTTGGTTCAGTAATTTAAAAGTAATAATGAAAACATTCAATTCTTTGTAATAAAAGATCACACATTACTTTAAAAAACATAGCCACATACATGTACTAAAGTACATATTTTTACTTTTATTATTTCCTTAAAATAATCACCATGAGTAGTCTAAACTCCATTCCGGACAGTTTAGACAAATATGGGTTATACTGTATTACATATACATACACTAAAAAATTCATGAGAAGCAAAACAGTTTTAATATAGACAGCCAGATGCTGTTACCTTTCTTTTTATATCAATGCAATTAGCTTCCATTTTTAAGATTAATAGCTAAATTATTAAAAGCAAAAACTATGAAAAATAGCTTACCCAGGGCAATGGCTTCACCTTTCACGGTAATAATAACTATTTCTTGGTTGAGTTCAATACCATCTTCATACCTCAAAATACCAGGTAACATAATTTTTGCACCATAGCAGATAGCATTCACCTGTTTTTAAATTTTAAAAAAATAATTACTCATATTAAATTTATTTCAATTATTTTAAAAAATTAGCACATTTAAGTTGGAAATTTTGATAAATGTAAAATTTTTCAATTAATAAATACAATGAATATAAACAACTGTTATAAATTATTGCATTAACATAAATGTGCAAACTAATAAAAACGTTACAAGCCTCAAAAATTTTTTACTACAATAATAACTGAAATCCAATAACTTTAAAATATTTTAATGCATTATCATTTCTTTCTCATCTTTTAAAAAAAATATTTGCTTCACGAGCTAAACACTTTTTAATTCTCAAAAATAAGTACTATTTTTTTTATAATGACACCATAAATAATTTACTTACTGCAGTGTCTTTTACAACTATTCTTTTGTGAGTAGTTAACAGAGCTTCAAGAGGTTGAACAACTCTCCTAAGATAGGTTTCATCTCTCTCATTATCATAAACCCACATGGCATCCAGAACATCATGCATTGTAAATAAGTTTTCCTAAAAATTATAGTTTTATATTAATTACATCTATTTATAATATAACATTTTATAACTATAGAAGCAGGAAAAAATTGAAAATAAGTAAAACATAAGCATTATTAAAATGGTATAATGCAAGATTTACCTATAGGCATAATATTCTATTGGTTAAAAGGAACAAGAAAAATGTCATTTATATAGTGTAAATCTTCTGTAAAGAACCAATGTGCACTTTCACAGAGCAAAATGCAATCGAACGTAATAACTATTTTAAAGTTATTATATTTTCCTTCAGTACACATACTACTGACTCCAGAAATGCAATAGAAGTCAAATAAAACCTTGGGGAAAAAATTTACAACTAACTACTTATTATCTATATTCAAGATAAACCTAACTTGAAAGCAGGGAAAAGGTACAAGGAGCATTCATCTGCAAAGTAATATTCATAATTATGCAGAGAGAAAGCATTATTCTGCAGATGAACTCACAGGTATGATTTGTATTACCATGGATAAGGTTTGTAAGTATAAAATTATGCAAGAAAAATCAATACTTATGTATTATGCAATAAGTGGAAATACTGGGACAGAATTTAAAGACAAGATTTTAGTGTAAAATGCAGTCGTTAGAAATTCTTAATAGGTCCTGACACAGGATATAATCGTAAGTTTCAAATTTCCCTATCACTGTAACTAAGGATACATATATTAATTTTATTCTCCCCTTCCAAAACACCATATATTTTATCTTTTATTAAGTAAGAAAGTTAAACAGGACCAAAATCTTCTGAGGAAATGATTACAATTCAAACTTTTCATGAAATGAATTTCGCTAAATGTTTCAAAATTATGGTAGCTAGCTGATTATGGCAAAGCACATTAGGATTACACACCTTAGAAGGGATGTCTCATATATCCAGTTGGTTACCAGAAAACTGACAAACTGCCAATGCTAAACAGTTTTATCTAGACAGCCAAAAAAAAAGGATCAGTTCTCAGCCAGAATTTAATATTCGTATTTATGAGCACATTTAAAAGATATAATTAATTAGACCCACCTAACCTATTTTGAAGATAAATAACATTAAATTGTTATTAACTAGAAAGTAAAAAGAGCAATCTTAACCTTTTCACTCTGAATACCAGAACGAACTCTTCGCAGTTCAGCCATCTGACCACCAACTCCAAGCGAAAGGCCCAAGTGAACACACATGGTTCGCACATACGTTCCTGCTTCACAACTTACCCAGAAGATACCTGAAATGACAAATGAAATTGCCTTATAAAATACAAAACTTAATTTATAACAAACTTAAGAACACAATGGGCAGTTAAATGAAGTTATTTATGATGATAAAGCATTTGTTATGTGAAATAAGTGGAACCATCACCAAGTTACACAATCAAGATAACAAGACTGTTATTATATTTATGAATCCGATTTACATTTTTACATGCGTATACTTTCAAGTATTACAATATGAAAATAATAGTTTAAATTTCACTTTAAACAGAATTTTTTTTTCCTTTAGTTTGAGAAGCTACAATTTAATATATTGTCAAAACTAAATTAATTCATTTGAAAGATTATTCCAATTAAACTGCTTCCCAGTAGCAAGGTTTCCCAGAAAATAATTTATATAATAATCAAAAATTTATATAATAATAATTTATATAATTGAATTTGATGAAACTGAATCACTTAAATAATATCTGGTCAAAGATTGGTTAAACATCAGAAGAATGTGAAATTTAACTTCTTGAGGCATCAAGTGGTTCTTTAATAAACATGAGAACTGTACATGTTTTACTTGAAAATAAATTAATATATTTTACAGTTATCAGTAGAATTATTTTAAATCCTACCATATTTTTGTTCTATAAGGACCAGTCAGTGAAGCTTCTGCAACTTCTGAGTTTTTTGGAAATTATTTTTGTCGTAAAGGAACAGTTTATCGGGACTGAATTTAACTTTCTTGTGTTCAGTACATGTATGGTTGACTGATTATTGATGACATAGAAATACTGGTGAAAATATGGGAAAGGTTGATACAGAAGTCATAAATGCAAAGACTGGTACAGTCAAAAGTTGTTAATTCGGACACCCATAATCCGGAATGATCTATAATCCGGACTTCAAAGCTACAAACTTTCTGTGCATGCATCGCGCTGATGCATGCACGTAAGACTTTTACGGCTACAAATATGTGTGTGCGCATGTGCGTAATACGTTTACGCTTGCGCGTTTAATGTATAACGGACAGTATAAGCTAAGCTAAAATTATCTAATTCAGTTAATGTTGCAGATTGCGTTGTTCCTGAATCTTCGAATTGGATTCGGCTTATTATTTTTTGCAGACTGTTAGAGCAATTTTATAAAAGTATGCTTGAACTTTCGATTATGTCAAATAGAATTTCCGATATGTATTTACTAATATGTAAAGGATCTACAAAGCGAAAGTATGTTTAGAAGTCCATTAAACAAAAAGCGGAATTGCTGCAAAAAATGGATAAAGGCATATTCTTTGTTTATCAAATCATATAATTCGCTTTCGATAAAGAAGAAAGTGATACAGAGGTTATTCATAATGAAAAAATTTTGATTCACAAATTAGTCAATATTCCCGACACAGCAATTATAGGACTTGAACAGCAGAACTTTGTAACTGAAGAAGAAATTATGTCTGTTTATAGAATTAAAGAGAAAGTATTATCATATAAAACGAAGCAACTTAAACAACTTACATTGAAAGAAATGTTTAATAAAGTAAACAAATAAATATTAAGCTTTTTTTTTTTTTTTTTTTTTTGTTTTTGTTTTTGTAAATTTTGATACTCTTTAGATCATAATTGTTCTTTATTTCATAAATTATGGGTTCATATTTTTAATTTTATAATTTCTGCATGCCATCTTACCAGATTTAAACTGATCATCTATAATCTGGAAAAATCGATAATCCGGAATTGCCGAAGTCCCGACGAGTCCGGATTAATGACTTTTGACTGTATACTAGATTCAGCGAAAAATCAACTGCAAGGCATCAGGACTCAATATTGTAGAATTTTTGCAGAAAAGAACCTGGCAAAAAATGGATAAAATTCTGAATGAAACTGAATAAGATTTAGCAAATTGAAAGATAAGCCTTTTAAAATTGAAAGCCTATTTTTCAGATAGTTCTTATTTACATACTGTAAGTGTTAATAATATAAAATTGAAATTGACCGATATTCTCCTTCTGAAGTTTTTTTGTGATGTCAAAGAATGGCATGGCTTTAAGGCTCAGTTTAATTCCTTAATTTAGGAGAATTTAGGAAAAAGAGCTGAATATACCCATGTTATAATTATCTTATTTGATACTTATCAATTTATGTGTGTCAGTACACATATGAATTATTTTACTTGAAGCCGGCATTAACGAGTAATGCTAAGCAGATTCAAATTAGTGATACGTTTAACCTCATTTTGTAAAGCATTAGAGGAATGTTATGAACAAAAGAGACTACTCGATAATACTCATACTGCTGAGCCTATAAATCTAGAAAAAATATATCATAAATCTGCAGTTGAATTGTGATTTCTAGTCGATTGAAGAAATAAAACATGGAAGAATTCTTAAATATTAAAACACTTAAATATTACAGTACCAGACATTCTTAAATATTACAGTACCAGACATTCTTAAATATTACAGTGGTGCTGCAAAAGAACTAAATCAAACAAAAAAAAAAGTAGAACAAAACCACAATAAAAATGAAATTCTTGAATCATAGAGAAAGAAAATACAGATCTTGAAATTACCGTGTTGGACATTTTGAACCACTTGAACCCACAGGTGTGAGTATTAATTGTTTAAGTAAACTCCCATAGGTGTAAGTGTTAATTGTTGAGTAAGTGCTTTGGCAACTGCTATAATTTTTATGAAGAATGCTTTCGGAAATAAACAGCCTGTGCACTTTTTATGTGATTCTGGAAGCGTGATTAATGCTGTAACTAGAGATAGTGTGAATTGGTTGTTATTAAGAGGGAACTAATTGTGTAAGCTGACTTGAGTATTAAATGAAGTTGTTAATCCCATTAAACTGAAAGTAAATGCAGAGAGTTTAAATTTACCTGGTGATTTGTCAGGGTTTCTGAATTCGTCATACCGCCTAAAATGTCAAGCCCACAAAACATATATAGATCTTTACAATCTGAGTCATGGTACTGAATTTGCCAATCCAGAATTCTTTAAACCCAGAAAAATAGAAAGGCTATTTGTTGCAAAGCTATTTTCCGATATGCAAAAAGCGGGAAAGATTTGTATTAAGGACTCCTGTTTGGTGCTGGGGAAGAGTGTTTTAGGTTATATAGTTAGTGGTTCAACTACCACAGTGAATTTGGCTGGGGAATTATATTGTGGATTTTTTGGGAGAACCTATTGATATTGACAAACTCTTAAAATGTTTGGGGAAATGGAATCTGTTAATGATTCTGAGCCTATTTTATGTGGTGTAGAAATGGAATGCAAAAGAATTTCTTTCTTATAAACATATACTAGGACATCAGACGATGGATATATAATAAAATGCTGGCAAAAACAGATATGAAAATTCATAACAACTATTTGATTAGAATCTTTTTGGAGATGACGAGTTTGGAATCCTAAAATACAAAATACAGTCTCTTTATAGAGATTTTATTCAGGAATATACACATTTGGAACACACAGAAGAGGTGGCTAAGTATTGAGAATCAGACATTTATTAGTATTTGCCATACCATGGTGATTATAGGCTTAATAAGACGTCAACAAAACTGTGTATTGTCTTTAATGGCTCTACTTCATTATCTTGCATGTCTTTAAACCAGCTTCAAAAATATGGTAAAATACCACAATCCATCACAAAAAGACTTGCTAAGAATATTATGGAAGGAAGAACGGATTTGATATGACAGGTGTTGGATACAGAGTTGACTTGAAGCAGCTGTGTGATGATAAACAATTCTGAAAAGAACTTCTGTGTAAAACTGTCCAATGACAATCTTGTCCAGGGTTCATAGCCACATTTTAGTTAAAAAAATAAGCACCTATAAGCACTTTGCAAGCACATTTTAAGGAAAAAATAAGCACCTGTCTAATTAAATTGCACACAACTGCATAACCTTAAAAGAAAAATTAGACTTGTATTTTAAAATATGAGCAATGCAATATTTATTAAGAAAATGAGCATTACCTCAGCCATGGAAAACAACTTTTTTTTTTTTTTTTTATTATTATTTTAAATAACAGTTCAATTTACAGAATTAGTTTACAATGAGAGGGAAAAAAAAACTATGCAGAACTTGGCACCTAATAATAAATACAATTTATTTTTCCACTCATATTAATATTTAAATAATTTAACTTAAATCAAAATTCTGAACATTTTCTAAATTTTTATTGCATAACAGTTTTCCCTTAACATTTATTCCAAGCAAAGTAATTTAAATAAAAAAGAGGCACATTTCTGAAATCAGAAGACGGGAAATTGCTTCATGCAGTCTCCTTTAACAGTAAAAGCTTAACTAACCCGCATACTCGGAAATTGCCGAATATTCCGGATAGTAACTGGAAAAAGAGGAGTGGGGGAGATTGTAGCCGTTCTTTAGATTTCTCGGCTAAATAGATGATTTTGACATTTCGATATGTGCATCATATAAAAATAGAACAACGGAACTGAGAAATAATCTGCTTAGAAAGCACAGTAAAACTCTTTTAAGTGTTCATAAACAAATCTTAGACTAAACATCAAAATTAATTATTTCTGAAAAATACGGCAGACGTTATTGCGCAATACATGAAAGAAAGAGACTTACTAATCTGGAGTGTTTCTGATTCTAATTTTCAACAGACTGCGTAAAATTTCCAGAATAGAATCAATCTTCGCTTAGGTTGGGTAGACCACAAGAAAGAGACTTACTAATCTGGGGTGTTTCTGATTCTAATTTTCAACAGACTGCGTAAAATTTCCAGAATAGAATCAATCTTTGCTTAGGTTGGGTAGACCACAAAAACTTTTAGTCCTAATCAATCTAGATTGGACAATGACAAAACAAAAAAAAAAAATATTTTGACTATTTGGTTACTTTCCTTTTATTTAAGCCATTCCAAATATTATTCCCTATAAAGCTAATTTGTGCAAAAACACACCCATTTTTGGAAGTTTATCTATACTTCAGCAGTTACTGCAACTATATTATTCTAAATATTCATGCATATACTCATAATATAAGCATAATGATCATAATAAACACGAATATGAACTGACCACGCAGACCGAGAATGAAAATTATTAAAATCTTGATAGAAATTAGTATTTGGGTGGGAGGAATTCTTGCACGCACCATAGGTTATGGTAATGCAGAGAAAGGGAGGAAAAAGCGATTTCCGGGAGTATGATTCCCCATCTGACGTTGCATATAAGGAAAAAAAGTTGTTTATTTAGTTTCGGCTTTGGTACGGGCAAAAAAATGTGCGTTCATTAAGAAAAAAGGATTAAAAAAAGCACTAAAAGCAAAAAACAAGCACTAAAACCAAAAAAATAAGGGCTTTAAAGAAAAAGTAAGCACCTATAAGGGCCTTTATATTTTATTTTTAAATATAAGGACTTATAAGCACTTGTAAGGACCGCTACGAACCCTGTTGTCATGGGGAACAATTTCATGATAAACTAGTCCTTCGCTATCAAAGAATATGATTTGCATTACCTTGATTTTGGACTTTCAAAATCAATATTTTTTTGGTCTTGGTGGGCTTGGAGACCATCGAAGCCACCTTTTGGAGCTCCATCATTTGCTTTCAGGGTCACATTGATAACACCAAGACTCATCTCTTGTTACTATTGAATCGACAAATGCAGACAGCAAAATTTCAGACTCACAGAGGCTGCACCAGACCAAAAAATGTTTAGTGTTGGCCCTGAATAAGACTTAAGTATATGTGGAAACTTATTTATTCAGAAGTCAGATAATACTGTTTACAGATACTGTTTCATTTTCCTGCCATATTGTGACCAAAAATAAGCATATTTTTTATATACAATTTTGCATTCTAATTGATTATATGAACTCAAATCAGCAGTCAAAACTGTTACAAGTATTGCATTTATTAATTTAAGATAATTTTTAATTATGGCAAAATTAAGGTATTTTTACTTAAAAGTTCGCTTTTTTTCTCACAAAACTGCAGAACTGGAAAGAGAACTTTACAAGAGAGAATTGTGAAAGAAGTGAATTCGCTGTGAAAGGAAATCATGGCAGTGGTGGAAGAGGATTTCTAGTATCCATTTCCCAAAAGTTCCGAACCTGAATGAGATCATTTGAACTTTCCGTTTCTCACCATCACTAGAGAATTCCGATAAAGAACTTTCAAGACTACCAGAATCATTTATAGAAAATTCAGATTTGCTATCTGATCCAACATCAGAATTACGTTTTGTTATGAGCCATTTACTGTCATGCACTGTTCTTTTATTTCATAACAAAATTGGGAAGAAATACTATTTGCAAAGCCTAATGCACTGAACAAGCACAAACAAACTCATTGAATATCTTTGCCTAATGAAAAGTGATAAAATCCATTCTTGAACTGATTTTACAATTCAATCTCTCCTGGACTACTAGAGACATCTATTAGATACACTGCAAAGTAAAAAATAAGAAAAGCCTAGAAAATCGCTGGATTGGTGTAGGAAAATACACTTCTCAAGTGATGTATGAGCAAATCTAAAAAGTCCGTTTTCACAGCACCCGTACAGTGTTTGAGCAAAACGGTTAAGTCGTTAAGCATGTGCATGAAATGGGATAAGTATAATAAATAACTAATACAATTTAGGCTTAACTGTCTCAACATGCAGCAGATGCAAAACAAAATTTAACGAAACAGTAGGCAATCTCATGATACATGGATAACAATGTACAGTAGATGCTAGCTAAGATTTATGATGATAGGCACAAAGTTAAAGGTTTCCAGACATCACAAGCAAAAAGCAAAATTTTGCAATTATTGGAATTTGTGAAGAAACATGGAGAAGCAGTAATAAATGAAGATGACATATCAGAAGTTTTCATTGCGATCAAAATGCCTCAATCGTCAATCAACTAAAAGACGGTGATATCTGTAGCATAATTCTAAATCCAGAAAATATAGCTACCAATAGTGAAGAAAGTGACAGTGCAGTTGTTGAACGGTGATATCTGTAGTATAATTCTAAATCCAGAAAATATAGCTACCAATAGTGAAGAAAGTGACAGTGCAGTTGTTGAACGGTGATATCTGTAGTATAATTCTACATCCAGAAAATATAGCTACCGATAGTGAAGAAAGTGACAGTGCGGTTGTTGAGAACGAAAAAAATCTGACAATTTAGTGGGAATTCTCAATGTGACTAATGGAATTTTATAACAGAAGAAGAAATTACATCTATCTTACAACATTAAACAACTTACATTGAAAGAAATGTTTAACAAAGCAAATAAATAAATAAGGGCTTTTTTTTGGGAGGGGGAAGGGGTAAAATTTGAGTCCCTAAAGGTCATAAATGCTTCAATATTTCTTCATGTTTTTAATTTTACAATATCTACATGTCATCTTATCTTACTGGACTTGAACTGATTACCTAATATTTGGAAAAATCCAAAACCCTGAATTGCAGAAGTCCCTATGAATCCAGATCTCGGACTTAGTATTGCATTATCTATTATTAAATTTCATCAATGCACTTTTTCATTGTTTTTCATAGCATTAAGCTAATAACTCTTATGACTGGAGAGAACCACAATCCCTTTCCTTAGATTGATATTAAAAAATATATATTTCTTCAGCTCAATATTTTTTTAATTTTATATTTACATTTGTGTGTATAAAAATAACATGGTAAGCTTCTGTTATCAGGACCAGATTCAAAAATGCATGTATGCATGTATGTATGCATGGATGTATGTGTTTATGTATATAAGTTTATATGCATGTACATATGTATGTGTGTGCATACATACACACATATATGCACATACATACACACATGCATGCATAAATACATTTCTAAATCCAGTCTCAATAACAGTACAGTACCAATAACACAATGTTTAAGCAACAAATAAAAAAAATGGCAGATATAAGAATAATTACCTAAATTTTTTTCATTATCAAATTCTAAAAGTTTTACTTCATAAATAGTCCTAACCCTTAGCTGACGTTTAACAGCAGATATTAAAGGTGGTCTTTGAAAGAGAGCTCCTGTTAAAGCTTCTAAAGCCTGAAAGAGCAAAATATATCAAAATATTTAGGTTATACAGAAAATTCTTTCACAAAAAGTACATAGCACCCATATTTTAAAATGCAGTATTTTATGAAAAGTGTTATCTGACTTGATGATTCTTGAAAACATCAGATGAATTACACACAAGTTTATACAAATCATTACTATTACAGTATTTTACAACTATAATACTTTCAGATTTGTATCCAAATTTATCCCTCAGCATTCTAGCTGTATAAAGAAAATTATCAGTAATAACCTGTAGGAGTAATAATACATAATAGAACAAGTGTCAGCTGCTTTGCCCAGCTAGTTCCAAGATTACCATAAAAATTTTTGAAAATCAAAGAGTCTAACAAATTGCATAAATTTGCTCTGAAATTTATTAAAAATATTAAAAATACTTATTGCCTTAAACTTTATTTTAGGAAGTAATTTCTTAATATTCTAGTGAGAATTTTTTTAATAAAATCAAATCATACAGTTAGTTACCATATTAGACTTACCATATTCTTTAGTTGAAATTTTGATAACTTATATAGGATGAATCTCAACAAATGAGCAAAAGGTTAGGGGGTGATAGAAGGCAGTTATGAGCAATATTCGTCATAGAAATGTATGGTTGGAATGCAAACGGCAAGCTGCTAAGTGGCACTATAAATAAATGGCATAAAAAGGGCTGGGTCTCACACTGGCATTTTCTACCATGGATTGTCGAGAGGATTGCTGGTTATGTGAACCACAAAATTTCCAAGTTGATGGATTGGTCATGGTGGTCCCACTGCTTGGCCACCAAGATCACCAGATCTTTCATGTTTGGACTTTTCGCTATGGGGCTATATGAAAAGCCTAATCTACAAATGCCCCAGCGGCGATCCTCACCAGGATCGCCGCTGTTGCCGTCAATATTCGAAAAATGTCTGGTGTCTCAGTAAATGTGTGTCAATCCCTATCCTGCAGATGTGAAGTCTGTATTAGAGATGGCGGAAGGTCTTTTGAGCAATTTCTATGAGCACGTTCTGTTAATCAAATGTTTTCTGAAGTATCTCCTCTCATTCTTGTTTTAATTCTTTAAATGTGACACCCTTTAACTTCTCCCTGCTTGCATTCCCACCATACATCCTAAGAAGAATTGCTCATATAACCGCCATCTATCGCCCCCTAAACTTTTACCCATTTGTTCAGGTTCACTCTGTAGATGTGACCAATTAAAACAATTTATTTGTATAATTACTACACTAGTTTAATTATCAAAAATGTCACTGCTTAATTGCTTATGTAATCAGTAAAAACATTAGTTTAAAAAATACATACTATTTATCTTAAAAAGAATAATGTGCATTATAAGAAATAACTTTAACAGCTATTAGAAGATGGCCAAGTGGGTTGTAACCTTGTTTAAAGTACAATTCCACCCCACTCTGTTTGGCCATTTTTCCCAATTGATAATTTTAGTAATGTTGAAGTCATTATCAATACAGTCCAATTTCTGAAATCAGCGTCTTCTTTTAATTCAATTTCCCATACATCTACAGTTAAAATTTTTAAATATTAAAGAATTCTTCAGCAAATGTGTTTAACAAATTTCCTATGGTTAATTTAATTGTACTTTGATATCACTTTATTTATATAATTCCTACTAATTTTTGTTGTATCTACGCTTCCAAAAGCTGTCAATGTCAACATAAAAAATTTTTTCTTAGGACTATCCTTTAAAAAAAAGCGAGATAAGTTTCTTATAATTTAATTACTAGATTTTAGATCCACATATAAGCTTCACTTATGTAAAATAAGTTTATTTCCTCTTTTAAGTAATTCGGATAGTAAAAATTTGCTTAGCCACGAAGATAATTATTGGCAGCGATAACATATTTCTTAATTTGTGTATCAATACTTTTTGAGAGTTTACATTCAAGATAAAAAAAACTACTCACAAATTCAAATTTATTATTTTCTATTTCACAAGACCAGAGATTTACTGGTTCTTCTGTAAAAAGCACATATCCGAGTTTGTTTTCATTGAAATTTAAGAGCGACTTTGGCTGTTGTCTAAAAAAGTCTCAATTAGTGCTCCTTTCTCACAGCAATCAGCACAGGCCAGAATTAGAACTATTTTTGTGAAAATACTTTTTCTAGCACTAACAGAATCTCAGATCCCCCACTCTTCTAAAGACAAGTAGAATTAAAAACCAGAAAAGACACACTTTTCAATTTTCACACTAACATTTTTAGCCTGAAAATATTCAGTTAGTTTTCTAGATAATTTTACCCAATGATATGTATGATTTAACGTTAATTTTACAAAACTAACGAGTCTTTCTGGAATAAAATAACATGCAGTACAAAACATTAATTTTACCTTTGGAACTCTCTGAGGATCGTCAACAGAATTATGCAGCTTGAAAATGCATACATATTCTTTTCCTGCTCCCTGCTGAGACTTGACAAGACGTGTAGCACGTTCAATACAAACTACAAGACAGCCTGTTACTTTTGGATCAAGAGTCCCACTGTGGCCTGTTTTTTCAACTCTTAAAATCCTTTTCAACCAAGCAACAACTTCATGTGATGATGGATTTGAAGGCTTATCTAAATTGATGAAACCAGATCTTAGATATTCTCTAATTTCTCTCTTTAGAGGTGAACTGCCGCATGGTATTGGTGTATAATGACATGTGCGAATATTCAGTCTATCGATATGCTAAAAAGTACAGAAAAATATTAGTAGTAATAAATATTCTTAAATATTTTAATAAAACAAAAAAAAAGAGAATTATTGTTTTGCATATACAAATAGACAGATATAAATTAAAATGCAGAGCTGAACAGTTTACCACTTACTTTTAAAAGAAGCGGCCACTTGCCACAGTTTAAAGCAGGAGGTGCATCAGAAGGAACAACAGAAAATGTTTGTTCACACTGTATTTCCTGAAAAATATACAAGCAATACAATTATTAAAATTGATAAAAGGTGCAAACACAAATCAAAATCTGCCTCTTTGTATATTTTCAGTATATGAAATTAATGCATTCCTCGTATGTTCTCATAGTGTAGCATATCCAACTAGCAAATGATAGATCCATATTTTAAATTCTGGCCATCCTGGGTGCTGTCAATTTTTACTTATTTCCCAAATAGAAAAATCTAATAATCGCTACAGTGACAACCACACTTAAAATTCTGGGATACTAAGAACCATCAAATCTGAGTCTGGTTAAATAGATCATATGTTTCCCCTCAGTAACTGTATACATGAGGAAAAATCAATGGAATTAACCATATACCCTTGTAAGTGCACTAGTAGTTTAAACAGCTAGTAGATGGAAGATTCAGGATCTGAAATCCAGTTATTGCTGATTTTTCAGATTTGAAGTATTCAGAAGCATCATATCCTTTACAGTATTTTTTAATATTCTTTTTTTTATATCTTAGTCAAGAGATGAATACAAATTATAATGTAATCTTCAAAATTTGACAAGAATGTCTCCTGATACTTATATACAGTCAAAAGTCATTAATCCGGACTCGTCGGGACTTTGGCGATTCCGGATTATAGATCATCAGTTTAAATCTCGTAAGATGGCATGCATAAATTATAAAATTAAAAATATGAAACCGTAATTTATGAAATAAAGAACAATTATGATATAACTGGTATCAAAATTTAAAAAAAAAAAAAAAAAAAAAAAAAACTTAATATTTATTTGTTTACTTTATTAAACATTTCTTTCAATGTAAGTTGTTTAAGTTCCTTCGTTTTATATGATAATACTTTCTCTTTAATTCTATAAACAGACATAATTTTTTGTTCAGTTACAAAGTTCCGCTGTTCAAGTTTTATAATTGCTGTGTCGGGAATATCGACTATTTGTCAATCGAAATTTTTTCGTTTTTAATAACCTCTGTGTCACGTTCTTCACTATCGGAAGTGAATTATAATGACGAGAAATTTGATTTGAATCATATCAAAGACGGAGTACATCGAGATGAAATACTACATTTAGTAAGGAATTATAAGCCAAATAAAATAAAAACATCTGCCCCGAAGCTAAGGATAGTGCTGACAAATCAACTTTCAATTCATTGTGTGCTGTGCCGTTCCCAACCCCCCCCCCCCGCCGCAGAGCAGTGTGAAATTGATAAACAGATTTCAGAATGGTTAGATAAACAAAGGATATGCTTTTATCCATATTTTTCAGCAATTCCACTTTTTGTTTGATGGACATCGAAACATACTTTCGCTTTGTAGATCCTTTGGGAGCTCCAGCATCGGAAATTCTATTTGACATAATCGAAAGTTCAAGCTTACTTTTATAAAATTGCTGTAACAGTCTGCAAAAAATAATAAGCCAGATCCAATTTGAAGATTAAGGAACAACGCAATCTACAACATTAACTGAAATAGATAATTAGATAATTTTAGTTTATACCGTCCGTTATACATTAAACACGCATGCGTAAACATATTATGCACATGTGCAGCCGTAAAGGCCTCTGCAGATTGCAGTTAAGTTGATATGCAGTTAATGTCTCAGATTTCTGTGCATGCGTCAACACGACGCATGCGTAGAAGGTTTGTAGCTTTGAGGTCCGGATTATTGATCATTCTGGATTATGGGTATCCGAAGACTTTTGACTGTATAATATTGAATTTTCATTGATTCTTTTTTCTCCCTATATCCTATACAATGAACTTTTTATAGCACATATATTCTATATGCATTCAAAATTTTTTCCTGTATATGTTATGAAAATATTAGCTCAATCAATGCATATATTATAAATTATTTATTTATCATTGACCTAGGAAATAACAGTTTAGAAACGCTAAATATAACATATGAATGAAAAAATTTGTAAAAGAAGTTCAAAAGTGTACTGAAGAGTCATACAATCTTTTAAAGGAATTTTTTAACTTAAATGTTAAATAGAGCTTAAATTTCCAGAGTTTTAGATATAGTATAATAGTATCATTTCCAGTATAATAGATAATGATTCGCCAGGTTGGCATCAGTTCAACGATGTATCTATGTCAAATGTTTCGGTTTGAGATGTTGACGGCCAAGCAGATACGCAGCAAAGGACCCAAATTACTGATCGTACAAATTTATGCTAAAATGATTGTTTCTTCATTAACAAGGTATTTTATTTAGTGTCGAAGTGAAATTAAGAATCGGGAATCTCCAGATGTTTTATTATGCATGGAGGGGGGAAATTAAATGTGCATGCATAAAGCCTACAAGAAAAACTTTGTTAGTAGTTTTGAGGTCCGGATTTTAGATCATTCCAGATAATGGACGTCCGGATTTCAGACTTTGTACTGTATTTGTTTCTGAAATATTTATTCTTACAAAATTTTATATGTGATGTAAAATTTGATTTTTACAGCAATTAGTAATAGAACTTAAAAACCTTTAAAGAAGGGGAAATTATGAAATATTTACATTATTTCAGTCTTTTAAAAAATAATTATAACTTTATTTACAATTTAAAGTTTATTTCTGAATCTTTCCAGCAATTTTACTGTTTCCTCTACTACATCAGAAATTTCAAACGGAGTTTAAATAATGAGCAACAACTTAAGTCTGTAGAGAGAGTATTGGCAAGTTAGCCACAGTGATCCTGATTCTTCCTACTGGAGTGTTTTACTGCTTGGTGAATTAGCTTTTTCATTTGTCATTAGACGAAAAAGCACATTAACACAGGAGCCAGAGTCTTAATATTTTAATTCTGATTGCTAAATAAGTTGAACTACTATTGTATTTTTGGGCTGCATGCAGAAAGAATTATTTTTATTATTCACTTTAATTGTATCATTTTCTGATTATCTGCACTTCTGTTTCCAACATTTGGCAGATCTGCAGTATTTATGGTATAATTCTTAAGTACACATATACAACAGCCATACTTGACCAACAGAACACTAAAAAACCAAAAGGAAAAGACAGTTCTGAAGAAATTCTGAAAAACCCCAGCTGCACATTTATCCAGTAGCTGTAAAAATGTAAATATCAGCCATAAAGAATTTTTTCCCGTCCTCATAAAATTGTTGCCTCTTATAAAATGCTTCTTTTTATTATTATTTATGAATAAGACATAGCTAAGCCATAAAGATACCAAACAAACATTTTTGCCAATTCACACAATCATTAACGAGAGGTCAGCTTTTCATGGGAATGCAGATAATCAAAATGTATTATTGTAACTTCAGATTAAAATACGAATAAATAATGCACCTGTTGTTATTAGCTTATCTGTTAAGATTTAAAGATAATACAAGATGAAAATTTGTTTTCCAGTCCAATAAGGTTATCCAGCATTTATAATTAGTATAATTAAAGTGATTAAACTTAAAGCAATATTAGCACTTACTCCAAGAGATTTTGTTTTCTTTTTCTTCTTTTCACTTGATTTTGGTAATACTGTTTCTAGAAAATTAAATAATAATAAATAAATAAATATGAGTTTTAAAGAAATAAATAGGCATTAAGTAAATCAGTAAATTGTTTGAATGATCAGTAAAATGCTTCATTGCATGAAGTGCAACATTATCAGTTCTGATGAAATACTGTCGTTAACGGTGCACAACATTGCAGAATCATAGCTGGCTGGATGTGAAGGACCAAAGTAATAAGGAGTAGGCATTCAAACCTGGTGAAAAGAAAGAATGGTGAGAGAAAAGGATGAGGCTGTGTCAATTCTTGTGCATGCTTTTGATGTGCAGCTATGGTCTCTTGTAATGGGAAATTTTTCACACATGATTTTTCATTAGTAAGTTTGGTTATAATTTGAATAATTTTTATTGATCATTTGCCCTTTTACATTTTGGAGGTTGGTTATTAAATTCAGGTCAAGACGTCCTTGATGCCTTTTTTTCTTTTTAATTTTGATTTCATTTCGATTTCTGGTTTACTTAATTTTGAAAATTCATACAAGAGTTTATTTAAATTGCAAGACTTTCTGCCTAATTTCAGTAAGCCTTTCTGTTGTTTATAATTTGATTGATTTATTTGTATAACTGTGATGATTATAATTTGATCATTTATTTTAAAGTATATGATAGTGGTCTCAAAGTGGCGGTCCACGGGCTATATGTGGTTCTCAAAACAATTTTATGTGGCCTGCAAGATTTTAATTATTTGAAGTCAGAGTTTACATTATTTCCATTACCATTTAAAACACCTGAATAATGCATCAGAAAATCTGTAAATGGAGCTAATTTACTATTTTAATTAAATATCTATGACTATGATTTATTAGATTTGAAGATAAGTATTTTGTTAAATGGTTAAGATTTACATTTGAAGATATGAAATTTGTTAATTGTTAACAAAATCTATATCTTTAAATGTAAATCTTAGTCATAGATTTGAAGATACAGATGTAAATCTTAGTCATAGATTTGAAGATACCGATATTGTTAACATTTATTCATATCGGTCAAAAAAATAAACAAGTTCAGTGAGTTTTTGTGGAAAGAATAATCTCTTCCAGCATTTTACCACAGTTTAAAATGAATAAGAAAAAAATCTGGTGTGGATACCACATGACTTCCTTGTACAACCTATTAAATTATACACATTTTTTGCAGCATTTAATTGAAACTTATTTCCTCAAATTATTGTAAATTAATTAAGAATTTCAAGGCAAGCTGAAAATGACATTAAAAAATTGCAAATTTTGAAATAAAATACCGCAGTCAACTTTTGTCTATGGAAGTCGAACTTTGTAATTTTATTTTTCCATAATGAGTATAAAAGTTTTCGAAATAAAGAAATCAGGAGACTACATTGAAAGTTAAATTTCATTATTTGTTCAAAATTTATTTTTTAATTTGACTTTTCCAAAACATGAATATCTTTGTCACTTAAAACACTTCTATAACTGAAAGTATATGACTATAACCAACATCTGAGAAAAAGGCCAGCTAAGGACTTTTAAACTGAGTCAGGGGATGGGTATATATATAATATGTAAGATATAATAAAATACGATGGCTGCTTTAAGAATGATTGGTGACCTTATAATTAACTATTCTAGATTTGGTATTCTCCCCCTTAAATTCATCTATTCTCCTAAATTCAAGATCTTTCCATGTTACATAACAACCTAAAATTAACCAATCATAGTACACATCACACATGCTTCTGCATTTACTCAGTATAAATACTGCTTTGAAAAACAAATACGTCATTCCTTTTCCTAGCTTCCGCATCCGGACATCTGCACGCTGCTATGATTTTTTTGGTGAAAACTTTGGTGGCCAATCTTCTGATGGCAGCCTTTTTTTTTTTTTTTTTTTTTTTTTTTTCTGGGGGGGGGAGAGTTTATTTTTGTTTTCACAATGATAATCTTGTTTCCCCCTCCTGTTTTGGGCTTTCATATTTCTGATATAAGTTTTTCTAAATAAAAATGCTTTATCTTTACGAAAGTTACATGCAAAATTGCTTCAAAATCCCTATTAACTGAAATTACGATCAACATTTTTCCATGAAATAGCACACACATGTATATATGTGTTAATATTCAAAAGCAAGAAATCTGCTTTTGAATGATAAATTCATATATAGTACCTGTAGATAATTTTTTGTATAAATTAGAATTTTGAATTAAAATGCAACAAAATGACTGTGAATCTTTGAAACCCGGAAAAAGAATGAATATGAAAAATGTTTAATAGCTAAGAAGTATATATATTTATTCTATGCATGCATCTATATACTCATCTTGTATATATAACTTTCTGAGTATGAAATATATACATGCATATAAAGTAATAAATAAAATATATCAAAAATTAAGATTGGAAAAAGAAAGAATTTCTATAAATTATCCATTATGAAAATTTATCTAAGAAACTGTAATGAAAACATTTAACCCATTAACTGCCAAATTTTTATTTCATCAATTTTTATTTTATTTCTCACAGTTTACATCTAAAAAATAAGAAAAACATGTTTTTCTCAAAAATGTGTCATTTTTTTTTTTCAGAAATTTTAAATTTAAGTCCAATCCCCAAATGGGTATCATGGCTGATATTATCTACTTTTAATGCCAGCTTTCAAAACAGTCTACGTGTAATCCATCATTACATTTTCCACTTTGTTTTCTTGCATTTGTTTTGCACACTACACATATCCTTTGTTTATCCTTTTCGGTCCGTTCAATATAATGATTACCAGATGTTCTGATAACAGTAGGAACATGATTAATTGATGCTTTAGTGAAAGAATTCCTTCCACCTTTTTTGCATCTGAAGAGTTCTGAAGATTAAGCAAGATATCCTCTAGCAACCATTCTCCTAAAATCTAGCAATGGAATTTCATCATTTGTAATACAATACAGTGCATGGGCGTAAACCAGTGTTATGTCGATGGCATTAGTAAGCAATGGAAAATACCATTTCCCCCCTTATTCTGATTCTGTATTTTTGAACATTCCAATCCATCTTGTCTACTCCACCCATGTATTTGTTATATTCTGATACAGTCAAAAGTCTTTAATTCGGACTCGTCGGGACTTTGGCGATTCCGGATTATCAATTTTTCTGGATTATAGATCATCAGTTTAAATCTGGTAAGATGGCATGCAGAAATTATAAAATTAAAAATATGAAACCGTAATTTATAAAATAATGAGCAATCATGATCTAAAGGGTATCAAAATTTACAAAAAAAGAAGCTTAATATTCGTTTGTTTACTTTATTAAACATTTCTTTCAACGTGCGCATGCGTAAACCATACCTTACGCATAGCCGAAATTAGAAAATTGCAACCAGAAAACTATTTGATTTGTATTCGTGATATTTATAATGACGAGGAATTTGATTTAAATCATATCAAAGACGGACTACATCGAGATTAAATACTACATTCAGTAAGGAATTATAAGCCGAATAAAATAAAAACATCTGCCCTGAAGATAACGATAGTGCCGACAGATCAACTTCCAGTTCATTGCGCGTCGCAACATCCCCCCCCCTGCACAGAGCAGCGTGAAATTGATAAACAGATTTCGGAACGGTTAGATAAACAAAGGATATGCCTTTATCCATTTTTTGTAGCAATTCGTTTTTTGTTTGATGGACATCGAAGCATACTTTCGTTTTCTAGATCCTTTCGGAGCTCCAGCATCGGAAATTCTATTTGACATAATCGAAAGTTCAAGCTTACTTTTCTAAAATTGCTCTTACAGTCTGCAAAAAATAATAAGCCGGATCCAATTCGAAGATTAAGGAACAACGAATCATCAACATTAACTGAAATAGATAATTAGATAATTTTAGCTGATACCGTCCGTTATACATTAAACGCGCACGCGAAAACGTATTCTGCGCTTGCGCAGACGCATATGTGCAGTCGTAAATGTCTTACGCGCACGCATAAAACGCCTATGCACATGCGCAGAAAGATTTTAGCTTTGAGGTCCGGATTATAGATCATTCCGGATTATGGGTGTCCGAATTAACGACTTTTGACTGTATCAGTTTGGGTTGTGGTACTTGAATATCTTTCTTCTCTGTTCTACTCCATCGCTTCACCTCTGATATTGGTGATTGATCGATAGTTTCATGATTAGACAGAAGCCTTACACAACTGTTGTCATTCCACATGATAGCTAAAATTTCATTACGGGAATCAAATATGTAGTCATATGGCCCGCGTTCTTTTTTCCTTATATCTTTGTCTGTTGCAATAGGGCATTTGTTCATTCTGTTGAATCGAACAGTTTCTGTTGCTCTAACGTCAATGTCCTGCAAATGTTTCATCAGAGAAAATCCTGTGAAAAAATTGTCGAAGTAAACTTTATGAGCATTTGGTGTCTGAAGAATAGATACCATCTGAAAGACAACAGATGTCCCAAGCCCACTGATGCTTTCATCATCTCCTAATTTCTTTGATTTGCCTTCATACACTTGAGTCTGATAACAATATCCAGTCTGTGAACAACAGATAGCCCTTTGTTTGAACCCAAACCGTACTGGCTTACCACGTATAAATTGTCTGAGGTAGTGATGTCCATAGTAACGAACCATTTGTTCGTCAATGTTCAAACTTTCAGAAAACAGTTTCATTATCAAAAGGTATTTCAAAACTTTCCAACGGGGAATTTCCCCTGAGTTTTCTAATGACATCATTTTGCCTTGTCTCTATAACGTCAGAATTTGCATATAGTTTCGAGTACTTAGGTTGCTTCTTTTTCGAATTGGAAGTCAATACTTCTTTTCTCTTTTTAGCAGGTGGTAAGCCGGTACCTTTTGTTACTTCATTTGCTGAAGATTCAGTTGCATTCACTAAAACATTTTCCTCAAATCCTGCCACACGGTGAATTACAACACACCCGGGAACATCAAGTGGTTCTTCATCATCAATTACGTTGTCATCCATGTCCTCATTATCTGAAATCTAATCAACCCGCTCTGTGGGA